TGTTATTCATCTTTTTTTTCCTGTCTCAGATATTAAGGAAATATTTTTAATGAAACTAAATAAGTATGATTTTTGTTTTCACATCCAAAATAACTTCTATTATATTAAAAGAGAAGTCATGACTCACTTCATGTGTGATATTTTAGTTTGGGTCATCTTTAGAGCTTTATAAAATTTTACATAACATTATAATATCTTTTCATATCTTTAATTTTTGTTTAAAATACAAATAAAAAACTATAAAAAATTTATAACAAAATCTTTTAGAATCTTTTCAAGATATAGTTTCAATGAGTATTTGATTAAAATTTTAATTAACATAAAATATAATTAAAATTTTAATTCATTTATTATTTATAAAAAAATAAAATTATGTAAAATACTTTTAACAATATCCTAAAATTTTGTTTATGTATTATATAGTTCCAATTTAATTTAAATTTTACATATATGTCAAATTTATAAATAAAATATATATAAATTAGTAATGTTACATAATAATAGTTTTAAAAATTGTTACAAAAATACAAATTTATAAATTTTATTTTAATAATATTATAAGTCACATAAAATTATTATAAAATTGGATAGCATACAGAATCAAATTATACTTATTTATTGATAAATTTTATTATATAATTTCAAATATTTTCGTATTAAAATACCCGCACGGTTGTGCGGGTCGGAATCTAGTTACGGATTAAAGTAAGTGGAAATGGTTCAAACTATTAAATGCAACATAACAAATTAAATAGTCTAACTCAAACACACTAATTAAAATACTCTAATTATGAAACTCTAATTAAACTACTCTAATTATGAAACTCTAAATAGTTGTAAGGTTACTAAAAATCGAGGAGATCAAGCGGCGCCTTAGTTAGGGCCGGCACTGCCTTGATCCATGACCGTGTCGATGATGTCGTCATTTTCCATCATGAGCTGAGCAGGAGTCTGTCTTGGCCTGATGAAGGTACCGTTAAAGATGAAGCTTAGAGTGGTGTAATCTAAGTTTCTCCTATGGCAGTAATCAAGCATCAGTTTCTCAAGATGTACATGAACACCAACCTCGTAGATATCTTTCCCTTCGTCCTCTAGGTTCGTGACCTTGAGAGTGATCTTCTCTTGTGGAGCTCGACACCTCTTTGACCACATCATTAACTATTGAGAATAAGCTTTGCGCCTTTGAGAGATTTTTGAGATTTCTTTGGCAATGTAAGGTGAAAACTGATGAATGTTAAGAGCTGTTGAGGTTAAAAGGACAATCCTCTCTTACTATTATTGGTCAATCCATCCATATCTTTCTTTTTCTTTTTACTTTTGTAGTTTCCTTTTTTTTCCTTCGGTATTGGGCTTTGACTGAAAGTTGCTTTTGAAACTTGCATTCAGAAGAGAAACACAACAGCTCCCTTGTTAACTAACTTACAGTTAGAAACATGTATATGAAAGAAAGAAAACTAAAATAATATATACTCAATCACAGGTTAGGCAAGCTTTCTTTTATTGTCTACAGACCCGTAAGATGTTAAGTGCATTGCATGTAAAAGTATCAGTCTCGAATATGTCACGTGTTGTTAGTCTTGTGAAAGGTTAAGCTAAGGAAAAAAACTATTGAGTGGAACTATTACTAAAATTCTCTAAGCCATGTTCGTTTCTTTGACTCAACGTCAGAGGCTGCGACCAAAAATAAACAAGCAGGTGAGAGAAAATTTAATGGTGTGTTGTTATATGGTTGCCGCCGGCGACTGTAACTGCTCATCTTTTCTGTATTTGTATTGCCGCTGTAAATAACAGCGTCTTCCACACCTTGTCGCGAGCGTCCAAGATAGCATTTTCTTACTCTATAGTTTGATTGACTGCTGACCTGTCACTTAAATTCCTTTAGATTTTTTGATCGCTGCGTCTACAACTGGCGTTCGGTCTCCGAACAGCACTTAAGTTGTACCTGTTGTTTAGCTCGTTCCTCTACTATTTTCTCTAAACTCTGTTTTCCGCCCTCAAATCTTGCTACCAATATATATTCTCACGCTCTTTGATGACCTCTACAGCTTTTGCTGCAACTTTTCAGCAAAAAAAAATCTCTCTTCTCCTCCTCCGCTCATCCCTTTGACGCTCCCTCTCAGAGTCAGTGTTCGAGTCAGACTCATAATGTGATTCAGCATCATCACTTTTTTGAAACACAACTTATTTTCATTCAAACTCAAATCTTTCGGTTACAATAAAAAGAGGGAATACACCATCCTCTTTGATTGAAAATATAAACTACAATAGCAAAAGCAGATGAGAAAGATAGTTCTTCATGAGAAGATAGCAACGAATTCAAGAACAAGCTCAAATGCGTTGATAAGGCCTTCACGACAAAGTCGGACAGCTGTAAGATAGTCACAAGTGACGTTGAGAGCCAGCCATCACCAACAAAACATACAGAAGTAGTCTTGATTGCATCTTCAGGCCCCGTACAGACCGCTACGCAAGATGACAAACCGGTGATTAAACTAGGCTTAAAGCTCGGTAATGAAACCGATACGACGTCTCCTTTCATGGAAAGGAGGAATGGTAATAAAAGGCACTTCTCGCTAGAGAAGGATGGTAGACACGAAATCCGGCCAGGTGAACCCACCACCGGTAAATAATTCCTAAAGGAGAGATATGACCATAAACACCAAGGGGAGCTTCCAATGAACCCATCAGAAAACTCTGAGAACATTACCCAAACATTCAAAACCTTGAACAACTGAAACAAACCTTTTGCATCCCTAACTTTGTCACTTGGCAGGCTTGATAATGGGCTAGCAGATTTGGTAATAATATTGGGCCAAGCCCAGGCAGATGGAAACTGAAGTTCAAAGCCCTTTGTTACCTCAAATGGATGAACGGAAAAAATCGACAGTATCACGGTGCCACAGGAACATTAATGCTCCTTGAGACATCTACCTAATCTTATGTGATTTCCCATTAAATGTAACCAATATTATTATATGATAATAATAAAAAAATATATACATAATAATTCAACAATTATAAAATTACATCATTAAAATATCAACAATTAGTTGACAAAAAGATATATGTATATATATATCAAGAGCTATACACATGAACATAAATAAAAATCTGATATTATATGATAATAGTAATAAATATGAATACAGCCAACTTAATCTATAACATTATTTAACAAGTAAATTTGCTTAGTTGTCAACTTCTCCATGATTTTAGGTTATTTTACTTATTTTCATGTTTTAATAATTTATTATATAATAAAAACGAATATTATATTTTCGAAAATATGTTAATTCTTTTGTATTAGATTGTCATCTTAAAAATATATTATTCAATTATTATTTTAGAAGTAAAAATTTGGTTACTTGTCAACTTCTCCATGATTTTAGGTTATGTTGCTTATTTTCATATTTTAATAATTTATTATAAAATAAAATAAAAAGAATTTATGTTAATAATATTATATTTTTAGAAAATATGTTAATTCTTTTGTATTAGATTGTTATCTTAAAAATATATATTTTTAATTATAAAATTTAAGTGAGCTTGCTGATTAATTTGTAACTTTCTGTGATTTAGGTAATCTATACTACGTAGTATTATTTGTTAATGATTTTTTGCAAGAAAGCTCTCACGTTGAAAGTTAAAACGGTTAATATCGTTTATACCCTTAATGAATAATTAAAAAATTTAATTTGCTTAGTTGTCAACTTCTCCATGATTTTAGGTTATTTTACTTATTTTCATGTTTAAATAATTTATTATATAATAAAAACAAATTTATGTTAATAATATTATATTTTTAGAAAATATGTTAATTCTTTTGTATAAAATTGTCATCTTAAAAAATATATTATTCAATTATTATTTTAGAAGTAAAAATTTGGTTAGTTGTCAACTTCTCCATGATTTTAGGTTATTTTGCCTATATTTATATTTTAATAATTTATTATAAAATAAAATAAAAAGAATTTATGTTAATTCTTTTGTATTAGATTGTTATCTTAAAATATATATTTTTTAATTATAAAATTTAAGTGAGCTTGCTGATTAATTTGTAACTTTCTGTGATTTAGGTAATCTATACTATTATTTGTTAATGATTTTTTGCAAGAAAGCTCTCACGTTGAAAGTTAGAACAGTTAATATTGTTTATACCCTTAATGAATAATTAAAAAATTTAATATAATTAAACATAAATAAAAAACGAATTTCAATGATTTTAGATTTATCTTTATCTAAAACTATTTTATATTGGGTTATAAAGTTTTTATTAACCTTGAAAAATAATTATATTAGTTAATATACTTGAAAAATAATTATATTAGTTAATATATAATTAATTATAAATTAAAATCGAATTTCATTTAGTTGATAGTTATCCTTATTTTTTTATATTATGTGATAAAGTCTTTATCAACCTTGAAAAATAATTATATTTGTTAACATATAATTAATTCTAAATTAAAAAATGAATCTCATGAATTTGATAATTATCTTTATCTAACTTTTTTATATTGTCTTATAAAGTCTTTATTAACGTTGAAAAAATAATTCTATTTGTTAATATATAGTTANATATAATTAATTCTAAATTAAAAAATGAATCTCATGAATTTGATAATTATCTTTATCTAACTTTTTTATATTGTCTTATAAAGTCTTTATTAACGTTGAAAAAATAATTCTATTTGTTAATATATAGTTAATTATGAAAAATCAATTTGCAAAGGATTTATGTATAGATAATTTATATTGTGTTATCCAAAACATTATTCAACATAATTTTTTATACTTTTTTGTTATGTCTAAAAACGATATTAATTTATTACTAAATGTTTCAAGTTTATGAGTATTTTCAAATATAAGATGTGTAATGAAAATTATTTATATGACGATGAAAATTTTATAAATAAAAAGAATTTGTTTAGTTTATTATTAAATATTTTGAGTCTATGAACAATAATTTATTATAATTTACATAACTTGATTATATATTTATTTATAGATATTAGTAAAATTATTAAGCCCGCAAGTGCGGGCAAAACACCTAGTATTCAACAATTATAGAATTACATCATCAAACATCCAATAACTATACACATAAAAATAAATAAATACTTCCGGACAAAAGATTAATACATACTTAATAATTAATTTACTTGAGACAACAGTTGGAGAAAGAAGTACTCAACGGTCGAGTGGCGGTAACTTCGTCAATATTTACTATCTCTCTACCGGCGGGAACGACCGTACCATTACTACCACCGTCACCTTCACCGTTGGATTTGTTATGATCTGAAGCCATCTTCTGGATCAAAACCTCATGTATCCGTTCGATCATGCTTAGAAATGCTTCTTCGACGTTTTGGTTCTGTAAGGCCGATGTTTCGAGAAAATATAGACCCTCTAGTTCAGCTAAACTCTTCCCCTCTTCTTCTTCCACTTCTCTAGACTGCTGGAGATCGGATTTGTTACCGACGAGGACAACGACGGTCTCCGGGCTTGAGAAGCCTCTGAGCTCCGATAACCATTTAGGTATGTTTTGGAAAGTTTGTCGTCTTGTGATGTCGTAGATCAATAAAGCTCCTAAAGCTCCACGGTAATACGAACTCGTTATTGCTCTAAATCTTGTTTCTCCATACAAAAACAATGATTAAGATCAGTTTTAAGTGGTTTGTTAAATAACTAGTTATCTCTAATTTTATTAAGAAAATAATCTGTCGACATTTATTAATTTCTTTTCTAGAAAAGTCCCAACATATAACCAAAGATTAGGTCCGCGTGACATCGATTGCGTGTCAAGTTTTTTTTCTTTTGCGCGTGATCTCTTTATCTAAGCCATTATCTCAATCCTATACTTGTTTATAATAATTCTGTGTATTTTTCTATTGTTTTCACATGTACACGAATATTTTATCGTTTACGTTAATAACATAAACTTTGATTATATCTTCTTGATCATCAAATCCCGTTATAGTAAGTTTTTATATCGGAGGTTGAATTTTAGTACCTTTCTTGGCCAGCGGTGTCCCATATCTGAGCTTTGATGGTCTTACCACACACGCGAACATTCCGGTAAGCAAAGTCTACTCCGATGGTCGGTTTAGAATCTAACCGGAACTCATCTCTCGTGAACCTCGACAAGAGGTTTGATTTTCCGACGGCAGAGTCTCCTATTAGCACCGCCTTGAAGAGGTAGTCACACTCTTCGTCGTACGTTTCCTCCGCCATGCTATATAGTGATCCGGTTTGATTAGGATTTATATAACCAAGTGGAAGAAAAAGCAAGATCGATGATAAAAAAATATCAAGGAGGAGATTTTGGTGTGTGTATATATATATAAGGTCTTATCAAGAAAGTCTTTCCATTTGGTATATATGGCTCTATTTATTATTAAAATGATATACAATTGTATTTCTGCATATACTAGTGTCATATGATTGCGACTATTTTATGCATAAACATTATTTTGAGGACTAAATAAATTTTTGAGAAACTTAGTATACAAGATAATTGGATAGAAAAGAGGCGTGAAAGAGACTGTACATAATACAATCCAAGAATTCTGTTAAGAGTATATTTTTGTCAACTACGTTTATCTACTTGTGTGTTAAACTTTTTGTGCCTTTTATTTACCTTAACTTGGTGTTATGTTAGAGTATGATACACCAAAGATGTGGAGTTTTGGGTTGTGAAAAGTCATAAAGCTCAATCATGCATGTTTCTTAGTACGTTTGGGTTTTGACATATTACCAAATTCACTGAGAGTTAGGTTGTCAAAACTACCAAATTTTCACTGAGAGTTAGGTTTGACTTGTCTAACAACTGAAAAAAGTAAACAAAAATGGATATTTGGGCCTAGAACGGGCTTTTAGAGGCCGGATGTTTGTTGACTTGTCGAACAACTGGAAAAGGTAAACAAAAGATGGATATTTGGGCCTAGAACGGGCTTTTAGAGGCCGGATGTTTTCGCAAACATCTCAAAACATCTCAATATGAAAAGAGATGAGTACAAGCAAAGTAGCTATTCCCAAGTACATCTAGTCGTCGGGAGAATCCATATAGGCAATTCGAACAAATCTAAAACTCTAGGCTAGGTCGAACTTCTGTTTGCAGCAGAGTTCCAGCACGCGGTTGAGTTCAGTCTCCGTGTAGGAACATATGGCCTACTATTACATTCAGCCGGCCTTTAATTTTGCATGCCATATACTTATCCCAACTAGGATAAGACCTGCGCCTTGCGCAGGGTGAATATATGTAATTAAAATATAAAATTTTAATATTCATAAATTTAAAATTTACATATGATTGTTTTTGTATGTATTTGAAATTTTAGAATTTTGGAATTTTTATATAATTATCTATACGTATGATCAAAAACAACTTTAATTAGAAATGTAAATCAAATCTTAGAATTTAATGGATCTGATTTCATATATCTTTTTACTTTTCAGTGTTCGAGTGATGGAAAATAAATGGAGTGTCA